TTCTTCTTTTCTTCTAAGTTGGTTGTAGGGACTTTTTCATTAACAGTTTACTCCAGGGGTGCATGGGTGGCTCAGTCGGTTGAGTGTCCGACTTAGGCTCAGGTCATGATCTCACAGCTCATGAGTTTGAGCCCCGCCTTGGGCTCTGTGCTGACAGCTCGAAGCCTGGACCCTGCTTCGGATTCTGTGTCTCCCTCTCTCTCTGCCCCTAACCCACTCATATTCTGTCTCTGTCTCTCTCAAAAATAAATAAACATTAAAAAAAATTTTTTTTTAAGAAGTGTACTCCAGGATTTGGAGAAAGTTCTTTGCATCACTTGGAAAAAGAAGTGGTTTTGATTTGTACTTTTTAAAAATATTTCTTAATCTCTTGAGGCTTCTTATTAATATTTTTGAGACTTGACAAATTATCAGTACTTCTCTAATGGTCTCAAACTGTTGTTGGACTGCTTATAAAGTAGACTACTTTCCCAGTAGGATAGCTCAGCCAAGGGTACTTGAGGGAATATTATAGAACATAATACTAGATACTCTATACTAGAATAACAAACTTTAGAATTTCTGATGCAGCAGAAAGACCACTGAACTTGGCAGGTGGAAGACTTGGGTTCTGGTCCTAGTTAGTGCTGACATTTTCCAGCTGTTAGACCTTGGACAAGTCAGTGAACCAATTTGGTCAATGCCTCCAACTGCCTGACTCCCCTCAACCTCAGCTGCTCAGCTGATGACTGACTTTAACATAGGGTATCAGGACAGCTGTAAGCAACTTCACCTTTGCTTCCCTCCACCTCAGAATCTCTCTTTCTCTTCAGCTATTCTTTCTTCCTTTGCTCCCATCTCAAAAGGCTATGCTCCCATCTCAAAAGGCTACAGGTCCCTCCTTGCACAGGTGAATGCCTTCATTGTGGCCCTGCCCTCATCATTTAGCCCGCCCTGGCGTTCTCTCTCTAGTGTCTTTCTCCCTTTTGCTTATACTTCTCTCCATTTTACAAAAAAGGCCGCTTTTGGCCCTGGCTTCCCTCTTGTTACTTTTACCATCACACTTCCTCAGACTAACATCCTGGTCTGGGGCCTCATTCCCTCCCCCACCACCCTCCTTATTCCTGAAATCCGATCTGATCTGTGCCCTCCCTCTGTCTCCACAGTTGCTCTTGGGAAGTTCAGCTCCCAGTTGCTAGAGCCTTGTCTTTGTCAGACTCTGCAGCATCAGTTCCATGGGCTGTGCTGTCCTCAAATTGCCCTCCTCCGTGGCTGTCTGCAGCATTGCAGGCTTCAGGTTCTTCCTCTAAGACATCCTGGTCTCTGTCTTCTCTGGCCCCATCATCCTCTTCCACCCACCATTGGAATGGGGCAGCCCTCCAAGCCCTTGACTTTCTTTCTTCTCTATTCCTCACCTGAGTGATATCCTCTCTCGCTGGTATGCTCTGGTATCAACCGACTCTCAGCTGAGTGAGCACAGTTCTTGGGATTCCGTTCTGCTGACCGTGTTCTGATTTCCACACCAGGGCCTCAGCAGAAAAGTTCCCACCAAAGCACCTTTTCTGCCTGACCCCTCTGCCCCCCACTCTTGTGAGTTGAATAAACACTCTGGTGACCTAGCCTTGAAACCTGGCAGCCATTTTTGATCCCTACCTCTCATTTAACTCCACCTCCAATCATTTTCTTAGCATCCTTCCCTAGTCCAGCCCTACCATTATCTTGTTCTCTCTCCCTCTCTCCCTTTTCTCTTCTTTATAGACCAGCTTTTATTTCTGACACCTGATCAATTATCCTAAAGTATATTCTGGCTTTTCAAAGAACTTTAATGGCTTCCCATTTTAGACCAAAAGAGGTTCAGACTTCTCAGTCTGCCATGTCAAGTCTCTTTCTGTCTTGCTCTGCTTTGTCTTCCAGACTCACCTCCAGTACGTCCCTATATGCACCCTGTGGGGTCAGACTTACCGTTTTACCAATGTAACTACCTCTGTTCTCTCTGCTCATGCCTTTCTGTTCAGTTCTTAGCTATCTCATCAAGACACATGGTCATATCCCTTCCCTCTATGAAGACCTTAATTCTCTTCAATGCTCCTTGAATCTTTGTAGTCCATTTTTAACAGTACTACTCAGAATGCTGGTTCACAACAAGATAATGAGTTCATATCAGAATGTCAATCAACCCACTGCTTTCTTCATCGAGGAAGTCTTGCTATGAAAAAAAAATATCAGCAGAGCTAAATAATGTACTTGGTAATAAACTGATTTACATTCTGGCACAAGCTCCTTATGACATTGAGTGAGTAGGAACAGCTCACAGACAGGGTCCTGGGACCACACTTTGGTTTATCACTCTCTGTCGCTTCACATATTGCGTGGTGGTGTGGTTGACTGTGTGCTAGGAGGTCAGCTTCTCAAAAGTGAGGGTTGAATCTTATTTCTTTCTGTTTCCAACACATGCAGTAGGTACTCAATACGTTTATTGAGCTGACATCCAAGGCCACTCTTAGAGCTCATATTTTTATGAAATAAATGTTTTTCCTGCTCAGTCTTTGGGTAGGGGCAGCAACAATAGGATCCAGAATAATTCATTAGATAGGGTGTCAAGATATGCCTGCCCCAGGGGGTTAGGGGTCTCATTTTGCCCTCTGTGTTGATGGTCACCTCAGTGCCCTGTGGATCAAGCCAGGGGTTGACAGGAAGGAAACTGGGGAGAGCAACAGGGGAAGAGATGGGCAGGCAAAGAAGAAAGCTGAGTTATGCCAATGATGATGCTCTTAGCAGCAATTAACAGACCCTCCAACCAATATGTTTAAGAATCCCTTGAGATAAAGGTCTGAAGACAAAAGTTCCAGTGCTGGCTCAGTTGCTCAGGGATGTCATTAAGGAGGTAGGCCTTTTCATCTCTTTGCTATTTTCAGTGCATCAGCGTGCCCCTACTTATGGTTGCAAGGTGGCTGAGGCAGCACTAAAGCAATACTTCCTCACGTGGCAGTGTCCAAAGCAGGAAGGAAGAGGTGGATGGGAAGCGGGTGGGGTTCTCCTCAGGAGCCTCTCTCTGTTCGTCAGGATGGAAGCCTTTCCCAGAAGTCCCTAGGACACTCTCCTCTCATCTCACTGGCCAGAATCTGCCAGGGAGCTACAAGGAAAGCTGAGAACATGAGCATGGGCATTTTCAGCTTCTGCAAATAGGCTGTAGGCAGAGAAGAAAGGGGTTGGAGAACCAACCAACAAAATGTGCCAGAAGAGTCCTGAAGTAGTAGTGATGGGATCAGACAGGTACTAGGGAAAGATAAAGAGAAGGCAAAATCAGAGGGAAGAGCTCATAAGGAAAACCCAAACCTGACAAGAAATATTGCTGAGAATAAGAACAACATAATCCTTCAGAGTCACTCAACGTTTGTTGTGAGTCCAGGTCCTTTTCCAGTTATCTCACGTGATTCTTATCCAAGCCTTTTGGCTGGCATTACCGACCCGTCTTATGGATAAGTAAACCAAACTGGGAAGGCCAAGACTGTAGTCCCCAAAGCTTGCCTAGAGACCAGTGCTGAGTTGATGTATCAGATTTACCTAGCCCCTAATCAGCTAGTCTGGAGGGGTCACACAGTGTCACACAGAGAATAAATGGCAGGTCACGTTTGAAACCAGAGCTTCTCTCTCCAGCAATAAAAACAACTAACATTTGGCATTTATTAACAAATTTGGGGCACTATATTAAGTGTTCTGCATGTACTACCTTATTTAATCCTTAGATTACCCTATGAAAGAGGTACACATTTTATAATTTCCGACATTATGGTATTACAAGTAATTT